CAGATATGATATTATAACACGTGAGTTGTCCGTACAGCACGTGAGTTGTCCGTGCAGATTATAGCGCTTGGGTTGTAGGAGCCCCTCATGAGTCTGAACACCCCCAGTGAGCGCGGGTACCCATTGAGTGTGAGTGTTGAGGGCTGAGAGCCGAGTGATTAAACTGCTGTGACGAGTTGAGTGACTGTTGCCTGAGAGGCCGTACTTGCTTTCATTTGTCGTTGCACTTAGTTGCTATCTGTCATTATTGTAAAATTCTCTGAAAGATTTTATATCCGGATTACATGAACTTGAACTGTATAAATTGATTTGACTTAAACTGCTGGATTTGATAGCATGTCCATTCTCTGTTGGAATTATTGAAAATGAACTATAACTGTGTAGCTCGTCATTATCTTCAGTTCCTTAGTTATTATTGTTACTTGTTGAGTTAGTTGTACTCATACTATAACTTGCACTTCGTGTGCAGATTTAGGTGTTCCCGACCATAGCGAGTGTTGATTTCTTTCGCACAGTTGATTTTTCGGAGATTCAGAGGTAGCTGCCGTGTTTCGCAGACCTTGCCTCTCCTTCCCTATCTCCTTATTTACTGCATTTGGTCTCAGACTTTTATGGATCGTATTTTCCAGACTCCTATTCATATTAAATGCTCATGCACTCAGTAACACCGGATTTTGGGAGTGGTTATATATGTAATTATGAGTTTTTCTTTGGCTAAATTTAGATATTATGTTTTCAAATTTAAAAGATATGTGGTTTATTGAGATTGTCGGCTTGCCTAGTATTGAGATAGGCATCATCATGACAGGTTGCGATTTTGGATCGTGACAAGTTGGTATCAGAGCCCTAGGTAACATAGGTCTCACGAGTCATGAGCAGGTTTAGTAGAGTCTTGCGGATCGGTACAGAGACGTTTGTACTTATCTTCGAGAGGCTGCCGAAACCTTTTAAAAACTTCACTTTATTGTATTCTATTGTGCGGAATTGATTCAGCTTGAAACATAACTCTTTAAATTCCTTCCACGCATTTATATGCGCATGTGAGTGCTCAGTATCAGTTGTGCATCGCTGGCTTGTGATTCTATGGACGAGGTCCAAGATGTTTATTCTGTGTTTCCGTGATGGGCCAATCTGAAGGACTTGAGGCCAGATTTAGACCGCAGCTTAGGCTCGGTAGCTTCAGTTGTAACCTGTACATTTGGACTCATATGTCCGGTAATGTCCCTATTAGTGGAATTTATGACTCGATATGCGGTGAAATGGCTTTGTGGAGAGTATGATGTAACTGCGGGATGTGTTAAGATGATTTGAATGTGACAAGAAGTGTTTCCTTGAAATTTAAAGGAAGGCCATTAGGTGCTTGATTTTCATTTTGATGTGACGTACGGTCTCGAGTGTGAATGTTTGAAGGATATTTCACGTTGTTAAATTTTGGGACAAATTAAATCCTCATATCTTGTCAATGAGTTTGGACTCAAGAAGAGTAAGTGATTGTGTAGAAGTTGTGGTTGCAAATGGGTATTTCTGATGTTGATGGCTTTAGAAAGATGACCTTCGAAGAGACTTAGAGTCGGTAACATTTTATTGGTTCAGGTGCGACAGAGATGCATTTTGGATTTGATGCAACGGTTGGGAAGCTAAGTGTGAGGGAGGACATGAAGGGAAGTGTTTCGCGGTGGTTGAAGTACTAGCAGGTCAAGTAGGAGAAGTAGAGGTTGAGAAGTTTCTTAAAGGAGATGATTTAACCAAAGTAAGAGTGGCAGATTAGCATATGAATTCAACGGTAGGGTAGTCGTGCGCCTTGAGAAAGTGTAGAACGGTTTGGAATCGTGATAAAATGTGATTTGGCATGCAAACTTTATTTGGAGTGATGGTTACTGTACGAAGAAAGATTGAATTGGCGGAAATGAGTTTGTTTGAAATGAAAAGGGATGTGAAGATCTGATTATCGTTTCAGGCGCAATATGACTTGAGTTCGGAAGGTATTGTTGAACTTTCAGTTAATGTCAATAGAGAAAGTGCAGACTTATACAAATGGTGGACGAGCATGAGCTCAGGAGAATTTACTAATTACGTGGTCGTTGCGCCCAGTGCAGCGTCGTTGGAAGATGTCGGTAAAGAATTTCATAGATGGGTTATCTCTTATGAGAAGTTAGTGGTGGCGTGATGTTGATGAAGCTTCTGCGAGGAATATTACTTGCTACTCGGTAAGAGGTCGAGTGTGTGACTGTGGTTGGTGATTCGGAATGTTCACAAAAAGCTTAACAAAAGACTTCGAGAAGTATGGCGTGTTAATGGTGCGAGATCTTGCTAATTAAGAAGGAGAAATCCTTGTGGGTTCTAATTTTATATAATTGCATCTTAAAGCTAAGTGGGGGAGCCTGCTATTGACAATCGGATTTCATGATTATGTGTTAAATTTTAGTTTTGGTACGAGGCATACTTGTGGATTAGTTATGACTTGTAGAGGTTGAGATCGAAGATGACTCGAGTAGAGAAATTCCTGAATATAGGTTATATTGCACTTTACGAGTATATGGAAATCATGGGTATCAAATCACGCATAAAAATATCAAAATCACAAATCGCACCTCAAATCGAACTTAATGAACTTTTAAACTTTCAACTTCCAAAACTCGTGCCGAACCATATCAAATCAACTTGGAATGACCTTAAATTTTGCACACAAGTCCCAAATGATCTAACGAAGTTATTCCAATTCTCGGAACCATAATCCGAATCCGATATCATCAAAGTGAACTCCCGGTCAAACTTATGAACATTCCAAACTTTCTAATTTTTAACTTTGGCCAAATAGTGCATAAACCTTCTAGAAAAATCCAAATGCACATTCGAGGATATGCCCAAGTCGAAAATCACCATCCAAACCTAATGGAAACATCAAAACTCTGATCCGAGGTCAAATACTTAAAAGTCAAACTAGGTCAACTCTTCCAACTTAAAGCTTCAAACATGAAATTTATTCTTCCAAACTAATTCTGAATCACCCGAAAACCGAAACTGACGATGCACACAAGTCATAGTACACCATACGGAGCTACTCATGCCCTCAAACCACCGAGCGAAGTGCAAATGCTCAAAACGGCCGATCGGGTCGTTACAATTAGAAGAAAAAAATGTTTCTAGAAACTGAAATAAAAAACATCTAATCTAACATTGCGGAAAAAGTAAAAATAGAAAAATACAAATCTCAAGCCTAAAACTCTCAAAAATACATGACGTTCCTTGTAGCTTACAGTACTAGAAATCACTCTCATAAGTTTTTACCTCTTTGCCCCTACTTATTTTTTTAATTTTCTTAATCTTCAAAACCTTGTTCTCATCTTTTATTTATTCACCAAAAAACTATAATAATCTTGTAGAAGATAAATATATGGTGAATATGAAGCAGACTAAGAGCTCGTTTGGACATAATCGAAATTTTACTTTTTTCGAATAATTTTCACTTTTTTACGAAATAAGTGTTTGGCCATAAATATTCAAATTTTCACTTGAAGATGGATTTTGGAATTTTTCGAAAATTTGAAAAACTCCAAAAAGCTGTTTTTCAAAATTCACTCATATCACTCACAAAATTTTAAAAAATCCCAAAATTATATTCATGTCCAAACACAACTCTAATTTTCAAATACCATTTTCACTTGAAATTATTTTTCACTTTTTTCCGGAATTTTTCCATTCTTTATCTCCAAACGCCCACTAAGGTTGTTTTAACATGCAAATTTCAATGATAATAATGAATGGCTTTCACATATTAACGTTCATAGTCAAGACATTGAATATTTATAAGAAGTAAAAAGGACTTTTATATTTGTTGGATCTTTATCGTAAACTTGTTAGAATACCATCCTCCTCCCTTGTAAGCTCTAGTTGCTTTCCAATAAGAATAAACATAATTATCTTACGGCAATGCCTAAAATCGATATGAATTCATTAATAAAATATAGAGAAAAAAATAAACTTAAATCAATAAGATATTTAATTTAAATGAGTTACAATGCGTAACTAATTTTCTGTTACGGACTGCATTAATGACCCAAACAACCTGTACAAAGTGTAAATAAGTCACTTTAAATCGATAATTGTATATGAGATATTTCAAACAATAATCACGACATGATAATATTTATTTTTGCAATTATCTATCAAGAATACACAAACATCTATAACTACATAACTTCAAGAATTTACCGCAAAGCACAAGTAAGTTTACCTTCGCAGGCATGACACTATCAAGAATTTACGAGAAAGAATGTAGCATACTGACTTCTTTTATAGAAGTATTGAGATCCTCTTTATACTAAATGGCTTTGGTTTAAAAGTTTAAAAATCAATCGTAGGTAAAATTATAATTGGTAAATTAATCCTAAACATAAAGTGATATTAATGGTTGAACTGGCAATTTTGATAAAAAGAATCTAAAGATAAGGAATCGTAAACCTAAACAAAGAAAAAACACGTCAATTGATGATCCTAATTTAGAATTTTAGATGCCACACCTCCCAAGATTAGGTTTTGATCCCCTCATTATACTTATCTCCCAACTCCCTTTAAGAATTCACAATGCCCTGGTTGTTCTCATAGTTGCACGTTCAAATCCTGTTAAGGAATCGTATCCTTTTGAGTCTCGAATCATTACGAAATGGATCCCTTTTCTCATAGTCTTACCTTCCAATCTCTCCTTCTTTGTTATGACTAATCCAAATTTGAATTGAAAGAAATACTTTAACAATATAAAAAACAATAATGACCCGATGCAAGCATTTCACGTTCATACATGGTCCGAAGAAAGATCACACCACAAGAGAGTGATGTAAAAAGAACAACAATAACCAAGGTTTTGCCTAGAAAATGCTGGTAAGGCTATATTACCTTCATTCGCAAGATTGTTAACGTATCTAGACCATCTTTACAATTTCGATCATCCTTTATCTTGATGAAAAGGAAAGATGATATCTTAGAAATAGGAAATCCTGAAATTCCGCTCCTAAAAATGATAAAAATTTCTGTAATTGCACATAATTATAATGAAAAATGTTGAAGATGCAATTGTTCAAGAAACTTATTAAAAAGAAGCCGAGGAAATCAACGTGCCAAAGAGAAGGAACATTACAAGACAGCAAGATCTCAAAACACGATAACTTGAAATCCTTCTTCACTATACAATGAAAGTTGACTTAAAAAGGTTCACTCCTGAAATCATCAGCTTGACTTGGTAGCCACTGCAAGTTCAACGGATATAATGAAAGTTGATCGCCCGGCCTCTCTTAGGTACTGAACTTCCCCATTCATCAGCTTGACCAGCTTTCTGCTGATGAGTAAGCTGATTCCTTCTTCAGATGCTTCGGCCTCAGTACCGAACATTTGGCTTAGCAATTCTTCTGGCACTCCTCCCCCTGTGTGGCTTATCCTGCAAGCAGATGAGTGATCATTTTATCTTTTGTATAATGACCACATGAACACGTCTTGGCTGAACTAAGAAAGAAAATCATTCCATATATGCCAAAACCGAAAAATCTACGAGAAAAGTATGGTTTTTCTTTTGGCTTAACTTAACAGACTTTTCTTCGAGGCTGTTCATTTTATGTTTAAAGGAAATGGAAAAATAAAGATGACCTCAACCGATAGATAAAAGAGTCACCCTACTGTGCTGAAGTTGAGTTTGAAAATGTCTAATAATAAATAAGGAATAGGCCAAAACTTAGAAGTTTGAACCATTTTAGAGCCCATTTGGAGGGGAGAAGATAGAAAGAAATAGCAGACTAGCAGCTTCAACTGTCAAAGATCAAATGCTATGGCAACCATAGGACTTCAAACATTCAGACATTGAGTTCAAGCAAAAATTTCTGGTCCTGATTTTGTTTGAGAGAATAGACACACAATCGAACAAAAATAACTGCTGGAGATGTAATTACCTGAATTCCAAGAGAGCAAGCTGAACAGATTCTCCTATGCGATCTTTTGTTAACCTGCCTGAAATACTAAGCTGACCACCACTTGGTGTAGAATTCACAGATACCAACAAAAAGTTAGCTAAGACCTGTTGAAGCCTCGGACTATCTCCGTATAAAGTTTCATTGAGAAGATCTTCAACCATGTCATTCACAATCATTATATTCTTTCCATTGCTCTTCATCATGATTTGACTAATAGATGCTACCAATACTTCGTGCAGCTTGAACTCGAGCATCTCCAGATCCAAATAACTGGTAAGAAAATAAAAAAGAATAAATGTTTTGATATTATAAACTGACATAACAATGCAGCAAATCCTAAATCCTTTAAAGCGATAAACATAAAAACTAAAACACATGTGGTATAGTAAAATGATTATAACATACCCATCAATGATGCTATCAAGATCTGTATCATCAAGAATTTTGTTGAGCTGACGCTGACACTGGGAACTAGTACGCAGTATATTTTTCTGCTCTTCGCCCAAGTTAGTCCCCTCTAGCATTTTCCGAGAGAATATAATTCCAGAAAGAGGGTTCCTAATCTGCCTCCTTATGTAAGCTAATACTTTCAACCTCTTCAATGCAGTTTGTTCTGATAATCGTTGAACATGAAGAGCTTGCTGCAGCTCATGGCTTGCAAGCTGCAGGAAACAAAACAGTCCCGTGACTGCACCCTCTCTATCCAACTTTTTGCTCACACAAAGTAAGCACTCTACGTATTTCCCATTACGTGCAAAGAAACCAAAAGATATCTTCTCACACTCTTGACCAGTCATAGCATTGTTTAGTACAACTCCAAAATTTACAAAAGCTTCTTGATTCTTGAAACGGCAGCAAGCTCCCTGTGTCCCGAAAACCTCCCCTAATAGCATTTTATCAATAACATCATCACGCCGCCACCCAGTTAACTTTGTCATTGCCGAGTTCCACTCAGAACACCAGCCGAATTGATCAGTGCCAAATATTGGTGGGATCAATGGGTGAGGATTTTGGATAATAGCTCTATAGTCACCTTCAATCCGGGTGAATTTGTCCATAATATTTTTTTGTCCTGTTATATCCTGAGCAATAAAACATACACCCACAACACTATCTCCAACATCCCTGCTTGCACATGCATTCACAATTAAGCTGATTGGACTAGAATCTCCTGACAGCCCATGTGTTTTTATTTCGAACTCTACATTTCTTTCCTCTTTCCCTGGTAAAGGTAAACGGTATTCGGCTAAATATACATGCAATTCATAATTCATTTAACTGAATGAATAGACAAAACTTATGTAAACCAATACTACTAAAAATACTATAATAAAATGGCGTAAAAAGGCTGAAAAATTATCTTCATGAAAAGAGTCATAATATTAACATAACACGGAAAGGGAAGTACACAAAAGCAACGTACCTTGCAATGCTAATTCCAACATTTTACTCACTGTATCAACTGAGGAATCCTCCACGAGTGTGAGCAAATGATTCCCAATTGCTTCATCAACAGGAAGACCGGTTAATTCAGCAATTTTTGTGTTCCAGCCATTAAGCTGCCCATCAACATCAACTGCGAAGATAGGAACTGAAGCTGTTTCAATCAAGCGGACCATTTCAGCAGTCACTGCTTCTAGCTCCTGCAACCCATCAATCTTAAGATCGTTAAGCTTCGTGTGGATAGTATTGGTATTTGAATCCATGGCATCAGCATCCTTGGATGCATTTCTTAGTATAAGCTGCAAAGAATGGATTGCGTCCATTTCATAGTCCTTCCATGGTATACTCCTAGTCTTGACAACTTCCAGGAATGCTTTGAATGATGACCTAGGATGCATTTTCCTGCCATCATCCTTTTCACCAGGTTCATGCTTTGCTCCACCCCATCTAACTTCAGCAGCAGTGTGTGACCTAAACCAGAACAGCCAGTCCTTATCAGATATTCTAACAGCTGCCATACCACACACTGCATCACCAAGAGCAAGAGCCCCAGGGAAACCAGCATCATACATGCTGTCTGTACTCAAACCTGTGGAATCCGTATGATACTCAGAAAGCCACGAGACAATATCGTGCAGCTGAAAGTCGCTTGGGGTCATTCCAAGTCGATGTATCTTATTCTTATAGAGCAAAGCAGCAGCATCACATTTGACAAGATCCATAATATTGGGACTCTGTGACACGATACCTAAGGGAGCATCTCGCATCAGCATATCACACAAGAGAGTCTGAGTACGCAGGATATTTTTCTCAAGAATCTGACTTTCCAATTCCAGTTCCTTGTTGACGTGTATGGCAAAGACTTGTGCAAGAAATTCACATGCATACCTCAGAGGGAAGGGAACAAACCTTGGGGTGGTGTTGTGGCAAACCACCAGGCCCCAAAGCCTTTTTCTCTTTTGAGATTGTGTCGAATCAGAGCTTTCTCCCTCTTCGTCCCCGTCATTGACCACAACTGCCATTACAAGGGATGCAATTGAACTCATGTTCTCCATATACTGTAGATGGCAGTAGTGAGGAGCCCTAAGGGTAGAGCCGCACAATGTTAAATCAAATGGAAGCTTCTCATCTTGGACTACCTTCACATGTTTCGCTCGGCAATCACAAATCATTCGGACCTTATTCTTCATGAACAAAAAGCGTGCAGCCTGTGGGATATCCGTAGCAGGATAGTGTAAACCAAGGTAAGGATCGAGGCCAGGCTTCGTGATCTCGGCCACCACCTCTCCATGATCATCATCGTGAAACTTATACGTCATCACCCTGTCATAACCCGTGAGTTCGAAAACCTCCTGAACCATAGTGTCACAAAGTCTTTCCATACTGCCGCTGGGCAAGGCCTGCAAGCGAGTAATGGCTTTGGCTGCAAGTTTATACGACTGCAGGGCCCCTGCAGCAGTCATGGGTACTTCATAGGGCTTCACAGGCTCGAAATCAATGATTAAGCTACCTGTAACCCTATGAACAATTGCATAAAATGGCTTCCCAGAAGTTTTGCAGTGAACGAGGACCGGATTTAACAGAGAAACCTCTCGGAACCCCAAGGCCTTCTGCAATGCAGCTGCACTAGGACCAGTGAAGATCGTTCTGATATCAGTCCCAATGCCAAGAGCTGGAAGCTCACCCACACTTGGAACAGCATGGCTAACCATGGTCAGCATTTCGGGGGCATTCTCGCTGAATGCTATGACCTTAAATGTTTTCTCATCAAGGGCTAACAAACAGCCAAATGGCTGGATAAACTTGCCCTTTTGGATCTGATTGAGGTAAGCGGTAGTTACTCTGTCTGACTTGGGCTTTCGCTCATCCCCAGCTACACTTGTTACCCTCACTGAGCTTGAATAGTCAAAGGAATCACCCGACTCCTCGAAATCTGCATGAAGCTTTGCATCTATAGTGGTCTGTGCAATGATCCTAGCACTATGCTTTGATCTTGCTGAAGTGGTGGAAGATTGGCTTGGTCTTGAAGATGACATTTCGACTCAAATCTGAAATAGAACATCAAAAGCAATTACCACCGATGATTAACAAAAACAAAATTATAATAGGAACCGTCACGGTCAGGCACTGTCAAAATCTTCATAACAAAGTTGTTAACTTTTTGTATCAGCAACTTAGCAGGCAAGGATTCATTCTAGAGTCTCCACCTTTTATCAATATGAATATCACATCCCCATTTTGCAGCATAAAATCTCACATCCACTTGAGAATATACCCCCCAAAACCCCCAAACAATCAACATACTTTGCAAAACAAAAAGCAGCAAGGAGGTGGCATATGTGTAAAATAGATATTTCAACTACGTACTAATATAACTAAGAAGTCACAACATGCAGAGAAATAGGCATAATACAGTAAGCTAACAGCTCTTTTAGCTAGATAAACAAAAGTAGGCACAGCTTATTGGGAATTCGAGTTCTTTATCATCCTATAGTAGTAGCAAAATAAGATAAAGATGCAAGTCATTTTCTCTTTAACACAAACCAACAAGCTATTACAACCAACTCATTATTTGCAGAGAGAAAACTTTGAAGATTAACACAACAAGAAAAAGGCCTCACCTTTCACAAGATTTCAGAGGCAAGAACAACTTAGCTTTCAGCTGATCAATACTTGATTTATAGTAGTCTGAATCTGAGACAGCTTCAAAAGCAAAGAAATGTATAACAAAGCTGGTCCTTCCTTATGCCAACAAAAGCTCAACAGCCATTGTTCCCAAGGTATCGATCACCGCCTCCTCTGAAACTTCCAAGGATGAAAAAAGGGGACCGCAGCTTCCAACTCAATAGAAGTACTTAACCCTTTAAAAGATTCATTAAAACACACACTTGTCAAAGTTCATGCAGACAACTCTACACAAATAGCCATAGTAGGATACGCGTTTCTATAAATAGGGAATAGGAAGGTGAGAGAGACTTTACTAGAAAGCAGTGAGTTGCCCGGTTGTTCTCTTTCCAAACATAGTTTGATGGTTTCAGTTGATGCACCCCAAAATTAGCATAACCCTGATTCTTGATTTGTCCTCCAGGTCTACAATAACTACAATCAGTTGAATTAGAAATATATAATAATTCGTGAGTGGATGGAAAAATAATAATAATAGTAGTACTAGTACTCACCAGAAGGCTTCTTATGTCAACAAAATAAGAATATCAAGATTTAACCACACAAAAAAAGAAAAAAAAATCAAATATAAAAGATTCGTCTCTCTTTAAAATATAGTTTAAAATCAAAGTGGGTCTTAAAAAAAGAAACAGAGAGATATTGTAAACATATTTTATTATTATAAACAAAGTGATTAGAATACCCACTTGGAGGGGAAAGTGTAGGGGTGGAACAGAGAGACCATACCTCGAATAGCAAGTTACCAGCAAAGCCAAAAGGTTATGGACATCACGTGAAGACATCATCCTTTCCTTATCTTTCAGATTGAGAGAAAAGGATGTCAGAATTTTGAGAGAATTAAGGACTGAAACTCTGAGCTGAGCTGAGCTGGTAGCAGCCAAGGGGAGAAGTAAAAAACGATCAAAATTCAGTTAACCAATCAAGTTGAGGTGCATCTGATTCCCAGATGTAGCCGGTGACTATGAAATTGCTGCTTACAAGTTTTTACTATTTTCTTTTTTGGCCATTTGTACAACCAATCTAAAATCATTCATTGAAAATTTAATTGGAGACAGGAGTAAAAAAAATGAGAAATGGGTCTTTTTTTGTTTTCTTTCACATATGTCGGAATAGCCTCATGATGGCAGCTGGACCCTCTTTGCCTACTACTTTTACTTCTGTACAACGTTTTTTTTACTTTTCACCATTAATTTACTTTGAATAGTTGAATTCATGGCCGGAGTAATTATTATTAGTCTCATAATAATAATGTTTTGAATAATATCTTTAATAACAGAATCCAAGTGTTAATTATGTCTTGAATTTTTTTATTTTTTTTTACTTTTAGGAATTCATAATTCCTTTTAAGTTTGAGAAACCCATTGATCTAACGGAAGAGGGCTACGTTTGATAAATAGTTTACTTTTAACCCTTAGCCCACCTATTGATCTGAAAATGCATACAAATTATCTTCTGGCCTAAAATTTCTCCCGCAACTAACAGAATTATTTGTGGTCTCTCTTTTAATGTGTTGCCAGCATGTTAGCTCCCTGATCTAGATCGATTTTTACCTGTCCCAATTTATAAGACCAACCCACCTATATCCTTTACCGTTCCAGTTTATTTCCTCTTCTTCATCAAATTAGGGTAGTTCCAATTTTCTTCCTCTTCAAAAAATTTTCCTCCTTTCAGATCGTAATTTTTTAGTTCCATTTTCTTCCAAACTTCCTTTTGCTTGTAAAAGCTATTCATTTTTGGTAAAATACAAGCCTACCACGTCTAAGAATTCAGTTTCTTCTGATTCGTCGCGTCAATGTAGTTGTTGGCCGATTGCTATTCATTTTATGGCTAAGATTCCTACAAATGTTGGACATAAATTCTACAAATGCCCTTGTTTTGGTGAAGATTCTTCATGTGATCTTTGGGAATGGCATGACTAAAATACGCCACCACATGTGACAATGGTGATAAGTAATTTGAATAACTTATTGATGTGTGTAGAAGTAGAAATAATTATTTGAAGAAGATGATGGCTAACTTGGAGGATGATGTTTGTCTAGAAAAGTAGAAATTGAAGAACATTGTTGTTGAAATTAAGGGCATTAATTCAGCCAATTTAGTGACAGTGTCTAGTTTGTAGTTTTTTCTGGGGCTATTTATTCTAAATTTTCCTCCTCACCTAGAATAGAACGATAAGATAAGCTCTTTTCAGGTTGATAAGGTGGAATTGAAAACTTTGGAGCACATCCTTACCTACATCGAACTCTATGTGTTAAGCATATAGCTTTTCCTTCTGAGCCAGGATCACACTTCACACTAAACGAATCTCGCATAGAATCCATAAATGAAGAAAACATCTCAATTGGAGAAAAGTTTATTTTCCCGGGGAATTTGACCCTTTCACTCTTACATGGATCGATACATGTACTGAATGCTCATACGAGAAAGCTGACTCCTGGGTCTGGAATCTTGGGGGTTGCTCCGAAAAATCCTTTCTTTCTCGTCCACTCAGGGGGGTGCGGACACACCTGCGCGGATTACAGGTGACAATTACAAGAATGGCGGGGAAGTTAACAGTACCCGACGACATTCAGGGATGGATGTAGACCCATCGGGCAGGGATAATCATTCTGGTCCTGGGAGAAGTATTCCTTCAGGGCAAAGGGCATACCTGAAATTTAGGTAATGCAGAAACGGAACAAAGAAAAGTGTATCAGGAACCTTTTCAATACGGTCCAGATTGCTAGCTCCCGTTCATAGTTTTGCTACAGATATGAGATTGAATCTCCTGTTGTTCCTCAGTAGCTCAGTGGTAGAGCGGTCGGCTGTTAACCGATTTGTCGTAGGTTCGAATCCTACTTTGGGAGATTTGATTGATTCTGAATTAAAGAATTCAGAATAAAGGGGCTCGCTTTGCCCGTTAAGAGTAGGTAACTTGTTCCCTGTCTTTGTTTTAATTGCATTCTATCTTATCGTATCACATTTTTGTGTCTAAAATGAAGGATAAATTACGAAGGATGAAGCTATTTGTTGTTATTTCTTGGGTTGTCTTTGTTTTGATTTGAGTGTCTAAGATTTAGTGTAGTTTGGTTATTCTTGTTGTCAAGAGCAATGTAATGGTCCTTTTGATTCTACGATGATCTCTATGTTATTTTAGTTTCTTGAGTTTTTAATGGATCAAAGTTATTTTGTGCAAGTTGAAATGTACTTTAAGTGTGCTTACATGAAAAATGCTCATCTGTTAATAGTAAGATTGATCTTAATAAGAGAAATGGCAATAAAGTTGGAAAAAAAGAAGGCTCGAAATACCAAGCTTTGAATTTTTGTAAGCATTGTGTATTTTATAACTGATAAGGTTAAAATTCAGCAAGAAGGCAGAGCACAGGACTAGAAACAAGTTAGACTATACACATTCAAACTTATGGGGTCAAAACAAAGTTCCCTTTAAAACCGTGTCAGGTATTTTATGACTTTGATTGATAGTTACTCGAGAATAGTTTGGGTGAATTTTCTTAAACAAAAAATGAGGAATAAAAGACGATGGTTGAGAGGCAGACCCAAAGAAAATATAAGCGTCTTCGGATTGACAATGGGTTGAAAATTTATTATTTAGAGTTTAATAATTTATGCAGTTGAGAGGGTATAGTGAGACACCGCACTTGTGTTCGAACGCCCTAATAGAATGGTGTTGCAGATCGTATAAGTATAATTCTTTGTGATACGGCACGAAACATGCTTTTATACTTATGTACTAGCAAGGATTTTTGGGCTAAAACAATCAATACAACTTGTTATTTGGTTAACAAATCCACAACTATGAGTTCAAAATTTCTTTTGACGTATGATCTAGTTCGCCTGGTAATTATTCAAATTTGAGTATATTTGGTTGTCCTGCTTATGCTCGTGTGAGGGACTGTAAACGTGAGCCGAGGCAAAGAAGTGCATATTTCAAGGGTATGCGATTGGAGCGAAAGATTACAAGGTTGTGATGCACGTAACATAAGACTCTAAAGTTAATTATCAGTAGGAATGTGACATTCAATTAATCTGCCTCGCCGAAAAATCCGAAGAAGAAGGCAATAGTATAAAAAGATCGTGGTATCAATGATCGCATGAAGCTAGAAATTGAATCTTCACTAGCTCAGCTTAGTAGTTCAGAAGTAGAGGAAGTGAAGGAGGTGCAAAATCTTGATCAAGATGATAATGTTGATGCACCTATGCAACATCAATCATATAACATTGCAACATGCAGAGAAAAGAGAGTGATCAACCGACCACAAAAGTTTGTAAATGTAGTTGATGAGAACCTTTTTGGATATACAAATCTTGTAGGATTTGCTTTATCAATTGTAGAGACAATTGATGTATTTTGGTGTAATAGTTATCCATAAGCTATTTCGAGTGTAGAAGCAAATCGATGGGTTGGTGCTCTGGCCGAAGAGGTTGAGTCTCTTAACAAGTTTAGGTATCGTATAGACTTAGTTGATGTGTGCAGTAATAGGTAGAGCTCTTGCGAGGGTTGAAGATAAGGCAGAGAGGAGTTATTTCTATTGATGAAGAGAAATCAAGTCAAAGGGAAGATTTGTTACTTGCGTCTTGAATTTATTTTCTTGTATTTTTAGGAAAACTATAATTCCTATAGGTTTGGGAAACACATTGTTCTAATAGATATGGGAAAGAAAAACTTATTGCCCTTGTAGGATTGAATAAAGATTTCTTGTATAAGTTTGCAAAAAACTTTCTCGTATAGATTTGAGACTACTTGAAATCTATATAGAGGGATTATAGTTGGAGATTTACTGTATTGTGTTTTTTCTTTTCTTTCCCATCGGGCAGGGGTAATCATTCTGGTCCTGGGAGAAAGTGGAAAACTCTCGGGGATTAGGCTTAGTCCAATCTCGTTAAATCCCTATGTAGTCATTTTTTTCTTTATTTGTTTTGTGTGTGATGATGTGCTAATTAACCCATAATCTTCCGCAACAAGAAGCGATCCATAAAATATAAATAAAATAGTGGCCGTATTTATTTGTTTTGGTAATAATAGTGGCTGAATTTAATTACATGGTATATGTAATGTACCAAGATTTCATTGAAGCTAAACGTTAGGATTATTTGTACCGCATGCCCCTTTTCAGGCCACTCTTTAATTTAGTCCCTCGGTAGTGATCAACTAAATTTTATCTTAAAAAGTAATTTGATATTTTTTTGTTCAAATTTATGTGATACTTTCTCTTTTAGTCTGACCATAAAGAATATTATACTTCCTTATCTAAGAATAATTTAAATTTAAACTTTTTACTTTATCCGTAATGAATGATTTACAGCCATATAAATATCTATGGCTTATTTTAGACCATAAATTTCAAAAAAAATTTGTTTTTTTTAAACTCCGTAAATTAAACACCGTCACATAAATTAAAACAAAAGAAGTAACTTTTTTTGCAAACATATTTAACATACTGAACTAACTGGTAATAGAATTTTAAAGTTAGTCTCAGAGAAGCCCATCTGTGCAAGTGTCGTGACTAAAATATTAGGCACAGCAACACTGTGTTCTTGTTTATATTTGTTTCTTCTGATTATAATCAACAGCTCGGTTTGTTTGATTTTTTAATTATTATTATTATGTGTGATTAAATATATGCGAAGCGTATAATTATATTTAAAAATGAACAAATTTCATTCATTCATTTGGTTATTCGAGGTATATAATGGACTAAGAGTTATACACTTATATGCTCTAAATTGGTTGTTGCTCTCAAACGCACACACAAGTATACTAGTGGTACAAGTAATATAGATTGTAAATCCAGAAATTATACCCACATGTTACGATCCGAAATTTTCCACCGACAGGACCGTGATGGCGCCTAACATTTCACTTGCTAGGCAAGTCAACGTTAGAGAATCATTAAACCAATGCCTTATTTCCATTCAGTAAATAACAATAATTAACTAAGACGAAATATTATAAGTGCGAAATATTATAAAACTGTATTAATTACTACCACTCGGATCTGGAGTCACAATTCACGAGCATTCTAGAATTTACTACAAGTAATAGTCTGAAAGAAAT